GTATAAGAGTTATCCCCATTTTTATTTTTGTTTTAAAGCTGCACACTTCAGCAGGTCTGTTTCTGTCTTCCCCTGCTTATGTTAAAACATCACACATTTCTTCTGCTTTTAATATATCGTATCATTCAGTGGCTCATCACCGCATCCTTCCACATAACTCTATAATTAATACGAAAACACACGTTTGTAAAACGAACTTTTGCGCGTTTATGAACTATATTGTATATAGCCTATGGATGGAGTTTCAAACTTAAAATATTTACCTAGCATATGACGTATAAATATACTTTTAGTGGGAGCTCATTTATATTTAAAATGCACGATAGCATTGGGACTATACCGTGGTGTAAAACATCTGGTGTATAGTGTAACAGACCTTCAGTAATTGTCCACAATCATACCCGGAGATGGAAAAAGTCTGACAGGCCAAACAGTTCCTGACACACACGGCTCTCCCGTGCAGGGGACACTAAGCACGTGCATTATAAAGTGCTGAATAACAGTAATACTAATAACAGTAATAATGGTAAGTATCCTCTCACACAAAAAAAAATTAATTGCAAGTAACAAGGCTACCGCGTAAAGTACTTAAGGAAAATTGATAGATTCATATATAACAGTGACGCCTGCGGGATGATGACCTATTTAAACCTACTTTAAATTCTATTTTTGAAAGAACACTTTACCTGATTAAAAATGCAGTGTTAAATCTTAGCTTGGTTGGGATTGGATGACTCTGTGGCGGACATCCATCCTGTCTCCGGGTACGGGCGCGGACTCTGAGCTGCGTCTGCCCGCAAAACGCTCATGACTAACCGCCTGTCGCTTAAATCCCCACAAACGTTTTCCAAGTGAAACTTTACAGACTTCTCCCTCCGGTCCTAGCGCCCCTCCACGTTTTAAAAAAAAAACAGCAGGATGGGATATCCTTAACCATTTTCAGATCGATTTTCCACTCCGCCCATCTACTCAAAAACACTTTTTTTTCAAGATGTCAGAGGTTTCTAAATTCCTCTGCTTTCATAGGAGAGCTTTTCCTCTGACCATAAAAAGATCATTTATCACATTGCCTGAGATATTTGGAGGAATCCCACCAAGGCAGACAAAACTTGAACTCACAGCCCTAGAGTTGAGGCCACGTTACCACACTCTGAGCCACTAATTGTAAAAATAAATAAATAAACTGAAATAGCCAAATAACTGAAAAAAAATCCATCCACTTCCCAAATGTCCACATGAGGCGTTGAGTATACAGTTGAGTGGTAACCGATACCAGCGTGAATGGACTCACCCACATTGTAAGCTGCGGCAATACTGGTATATAATGAAGAACACGGGGTGGGGGGGGCACTGTATCAACAGCCGAGGGCTCCATAGACAGGCAGAGCAATAACACCCTCGCGGTCGCGTCCAAATCCTGAGGGCTGCCGACCACCCACATACTCCAGAAGACCAGGATCTAGCAGACAGGGTTAAGGCTGAAGATGACTGGGCCATGGCGGACAGCCTGGAGCTCTGAGAACACGATCACTAAGCCTGGGAATGCTGCACGCTAGACGGAGAGCCGCAGTATCATAACACACAGAGCATCACAGGGGAACACATGGAAACAGACAGTCTAAGTCAGTGTTTCTGAAGGTGTGGTAGCGTTTCCACAGTCTGATCATTGATGGTACTTCTGGTGGCTTCAACGATTGATGATTCACATTTATTTGGCAGATGTTTGGGATAATGGATATCTCTGTTACCTAACACATCTTAGATCAGGGTTCGAGTCTCCGGCATAGCTCTCTGTGTGGAGTTTGTATGTTCTCCCCGTGTCATCGTGGGGTTTCCTCTAGGTACTCCAGTTTCCCCCCACAGTGCAAAAACATGTGAATTGGAGTTACCAAGTTGCCTGTAGCTGTGAGTCCTGCAAGGGGTTGGTGCCCCACCCTGGATTATTTCCTGCCATGCACCTGCAGCTTGTAGGTTAGCCTTTGGATGCTGGTCACCCTGAATAGGACAAGCGTGTACAGAATATAGATGACATGTGCTTTTATCCATAGTGCCATAGAGTTTATACTGCGGCAGAGAATCCCTAGAGTAATTGGAGTGGGGGGGGGGCTTGCTAAGGAGCCCACCGACAAAATCACTCTGCTGACTTCAAGATTTGAACCAGCAACCTACCATTCACGAGAACAACATCCCAGCCCACTGGGCCACACACACCACAGTGCAGCTGATTTAACTTGTGGAATGCAACACAGAGCCCATCTGTTTACTAAGCCTATCTGTAGCTCTCCAGCTCTTTTTGGAAAAGGATGTAGAGACAGGATATATACAGGGCATGAATTCCGAAAGCCTCCCCAGTAACAGCCCAACCCGTGACTGTGCCTCTGGGCAGTTATGAAGCCTTCAGTAAGTATTACTAGCCGACGACAGGTGAAGTATAGTCAAAGTGACCCCTACACTTGCGCCTGCAGTCCTCCCGTACCTTAGAGGCGTCCTGACACTGCATCACTGCGGCTGGGGATGGGCAGATGACAGATGACACCTCTTCATTTGGCACAGTTAGGAGACGCAGTGGAGCATAGCGGCTGCTACTTTAGATGGAATTTGTTTTTTATTAAAAAGGCCTCCCAAGAATTTTCTGTTCCTACTTCATTTAGACTTTAAATTGGTAATTATGGGCTGCAAAAGCAGCTGAATGTCCCACAGGAATACTGATGGAGTCCGCTTTCCCCTCCCTGCCATTTCAGAGCACATGAGAGTGCTTGTTCCTCACATGGTTCCTGGTTTCCCCTCCCTGCCATTTCAGAGCACATGAGAGCGCTTCTTCCCCACATGGTTCCTGGTTTCCCCTCCCTGCCATTTCAGAGCACATGAGAGCGCTTCTTCCCCACATGGTTCCTGGTTTCCCCTCCCTGCCATTTCAGAGCACATGAGAGCGCTTCTTCCCCACATGGTTCCTGGTTTCCCCTCCCTGCCATTTCAGAGCACATG